ATTTTTAAACATCTGTTTTATATACAAAACTGATTTTCACTCACTGTGCTGGTAAAGACTGCTAACAGTGGCAAAAATCTAGTTGCGAAATTGCTCCCAGAAAAAGGTGACAATATTACTGGTAGAGGGGAGCTTTTTTGTATCCAAAGGCTTCTTGGTTCTTTCCCACAGCTTGACTGACTAGCATGTAACCTGTTTCACTGCTGGCAAACCTTGGGAATCCTGTGACAACAATTTCACATCGACAGTTATATTATCAGAGTGAGGGATTTTCAATAATTAAAGATTTTCTACATCTATCCCATGGCTGCTATGATTTTCACATAATGTAACTGACTACACATGAGTCAGGCAAACTGCAGGACAGAAGTAGGAAGTCTTTAATTACTAGAACTCTTCTGCCTGTGATGTCATAATTCTTCTGTAATGTAATGTGCACAACACATTTTGGTAAGTATGATTGAATTCTTGAAATACATACATGGACTGAATATAAAAAGAACATAAGAGTTCAAGAAACTCCAGGCATATTAGAAGTATTCATTATATGGAGTGTCACACAAATGGCTCAACTGAATTATCTTCCCACAATTGTGTAACAGGAACCAAGGTGGCTTGAACTAAACATTTATCCCACCTGTTGTTCTGCGGCATGCACATGATTTTGTGTCTTACTGGGCCTACTTGTGATATTTCTAATGTGGATAAATTTAAATCAAGCAATCAGTGGCTAAAATCCTGTTGCTTATTGTTAGTTCATGAGACTAGTAAAATCTCATGAATGGCCAGGCTTTTGAGTTCTGCAGGACTCTTTGTGAGGCTGGGTGTTACATTTATTTAAGATATTTTTACCTCATCTTTCTCTTTAAAAAGGCCCACAACAGCTTACATCATTAAAAGACAATATATAAGCTAACAACAGTGAGTACACAAATACTAAACACGATCAAATAAATATCATACCAAAAGACATAAGCAACCCCAAATACATTCAAAGCAATAAAGAACAACTATCTATTTAAAAAAAACCACTCAAACCCCCAGTAAATCAGGAAAAGTCACTAGAGAAGCCCACTGAATTAGGGGTTTTTTGGTGAATCAACACCTCTTTAAGTTTCATTTACTGAAATGGACCTACTATGCTGAAATAAGTTGCATCTAGAGTAGAACCATTTGAATCAACAGAACATATGGAGGAGATGACTCACCAAATACAGTATCATTGAATCAATGGGCCTATATGAGTTCAACTTACTATGCTAAGCAATAGGATTTCAGCCAATATCTCAGAAAATCTGGGACTTGCAATATGATTAACTTTTCTGCACATTGGATTTGTTTGTACTGAGGAAGATGATCAAATGTGGTACTTACGCATATATCTGAGACAGGAGATTTTAAGGCCAGCATGGCCAATTAATGCAATCCTAACCATGCATGAAGTATATAAATGGGTGCTTATACATGTTTGACAAGTACACAACTCCTTGATTTCAAAAGCATTGCTTAGAGGAGAGGGCTCACTTGTTGCATGCTTCAAATCACAAACAATTATTTTTCATATGAATCTGTACTTCTAAACAATGGCAGAAATCCTGTTGCTCAATGTAGTAAGTCACAACTAGAGTAGGCCTATTGAATCAATGGAACGTTCAGAAGAGTTGACTCCCCAAATTCAGCTGGTTCAGTGGGCCTATTCCAGTTGCGACTTGTTATGCTAGGCAACAGGCTCTCAGTCAATATGAAATATTTAAGAACAACATTAAGGGTTTTAATACATGCTGGCAGTTAAGTCCAAGAATTCATCCTTGAAAAGTCCATCTCACTAAATCTCCAAATGTATAACGGCACTTTAGCAAACATCTTGATCTTGGCATGGAACGTGTTGTTCTTTTTTCATTGTCTATAGAGTCCAGAAGCACCACCATTGGGGAACTCCTGAAACCTGATTAATTACTGCCACTGAAATACTGCAATTTTCTTTTAATGTACTTTTTTTTATTAAAACACATAATGCACTGCATAACTGAATCTCATGTGAACAATAAACATGCAACAAGAGTTGTCACACTTCAGGCCATAATTTCTGCCACAATTCAATTGATTCCAAGTGACATCTCCAAGGATACGGACCAACCAAGTAGAACACTTTCAATAACTGAAGCAGGCTTCATGGAACACCATTAATTCTCCTACCATAGTTTTAGAACAATCTACTCCTTTAAAACAATAAATTTTCATTTAACTGTAGATTAGCAAGTTCTCCCATAAGACTAAAACCTCAGAATTTGAAACTGGATGCACATGGTATGGAATAGCTAGAAGTGGTTTAATTCTCCAGTTGAGGGCCTTCCTCCAACTAACTTCTCTAAAGTCACTCTTCTCTAAAGAGTGAGCAGAATCAGACACTGTTGTGCTTAAACCCGTTTGTTGGCTTGATAGTTTTACCTGCAAAGCCTTGTAACACAGTACTACTGCCCCATATTTCCTTCACCCTCTTTTATTTCTAACATTTGCAGGTTCTTCTGGGAGACATTTTATCTGAAGAATAAGCTAAAATGCTTTAAATGAATATATTCATAGCAACTGATACAACCTGATGATTGTGTGTGCGCACATGTGTGTGTGCATGTATGTATCGACTCCATAATAAACAAAGAATGCTCAAATATAAACGAACACAAATCAGTGATTTGGAGGGATCATAGCATGTACTTGTTCATGGAGCAGGTGGTAACATCAGGAAAAAAATGATATCAACATGCAGAATGAATTAATGCAGGAACTGCAGGAAATGGCTTTCAAATAAAACAGAAAGAGCTAGCAGAAATTCCCCAGAAACAGTTATAGTACTAAATAAAATCACTGGTGGCTGATTCTATGGGAAGACTCTGAAACACAGCCTGGTCCCCTCTTTCAGGTTGTTACACTCTGACTTGCTTAGGATAATGAAAAACTACCTTCATGCAAGAAGCCAGGGAGAAACCTGCACTTGCTTTTTTCTTTCCAGCAGCAGTCTTTCTGTGCTACATATCCATGACACAGGAAGCACTATACTCCTAGCTCTTGTTGTTCTCCTCTCAAACTTCAGAAGAACCAGAAACACCACTAACACATCGATGCAGTTTCTCATAATGGCTGTATATATCCTCTCATTCTTGGCATTAATGTCAACAGAAAACACATTAAGCTATCACAGTGGGGGTAACACGACATTTCAGTACCAACATTCAATAGAGAGCCCTTTTTCCTTATTCAATAGCATAATTTCAATCCTCAATTATGCACACTAACTGGGTTCAGAAGTAGCGTATAGATGGCTTCTTTATTACTTGTCTGTATATATACAATTTTAATTATTAATAAAGACATACATATGTAATCAAACAACACAATGTTTTTATCACACTTAATTAGCTCCTGCACTAACAAGTACAAAATGTATGTCATGCATTTCAGTATCCGTGGAAATCATCTCTACTTTTGGAATAATCAAAGGTTTTCACAATAGGATCAGTATTTGAAAATCAACTGCATACAATATCCAAAGGATGGGTGATTATGTGATGATAAACTGCTACAAATAGTTTCTCACTGCTTTTCACTGTATACACAAGGGGGTATGAGTGTGGTTCAGTTGCTTTGCTTGGTAAAATTATATTTGACTTGAAGCCCAATTCCTTCCCAGCTAATTTTGTATATGATGCTGAGAGTTAATAGACTATTAATGAATCACGCTCATCCAACAAGACAGATGCTTAGTTTATGTGGGGTACCTGAATCTGAGAACAAATTGTAAAATCAAAAGGTAGTACTAAAAGCCCAGTGCATGTCTAGAAAATTTCAACAATTTACATTTAATTGGTTCTTTAGTTTTATAGGACAAGTAAAAAATAAAAGTAAAGGGCAAGTAAAAATACTGACATATAATGAGTAATATGACTTCAGCCACAAATTGCTGGCAATCATCAATAAAGCATGTGTACTTTTCAACTGTCATGGTTTTTATACCCAAGTAAAAGTTGCTAATCTTATGAAAACATTATTTTAGAATTCACATTCTTTAATACAAATTATGCTAAATAGACATTTTCAAAGCAAAAATCCTCTAATTCAGTCCAAAACATCTTACAAATTAAAGACTCAATCAGTTTTGCTAGGAAACTATGTTTGTTAACATGCAGTGGTTTTTCCCCTATGTTTCCCTTTTCTCCTTGTTAATGTTTCCCCCTTTTTATTGATCTTTATTTTACATCAAAAGTTAACTTTTAAATGTTCTTCCTTTTAACAATTACTGCTAATCTGTCCAAACTATCAACTGGAGGAATAAAGAAAAAATAATAATATATGTTAATAGAACTCTAATGGTTGCTTACATTTATTCTATTATAAACCTGATTAAAAATAAGTGGAAATCGTTAGTACTACATGGGGAGAATCAAATACAGCATTTTATAGCTATCTTTTGAACCACTGGATCGTCTAGGGCAAACTGGTTAGGACAGGTTATTTGGGTTATAAGGAGTCCTTCCTACATATTTGTAAAGATCTGTAAATATTTCCTCCCTTTGGTTGGGACCACAGCATTTCTCTATGCTCAACAATAAACCACCCTCATGCTAAAACCAGTCAATCTGTGAACTCAAGAGACTATAAGGGAGCGCTGTGCCATTGCTGCTGTACAAAATTTTGCTGCAGAGCATGTAATAAGGGACTCTTGAGCAGAAAGAAGTAGCTGATGTAAAATTCATCAGATCTCCCTGATGAACACCTTTTTGAAAAACCCACAACACAACAGTATCTAATGTACACAGACTGAGATGAAGGTTAAACCATGTTCAAAATGTGACTTTTGAAAGTATTAAGGTATACTCTAATGCAAACTAGCAACAGCTAAATAGAAGTAGTTAATGTAATATTTCCAAAAAGATGTTAACATATGATTAACATCATCATGGACTGGGTTCTTTAATAATGCCATGCACATTAAACTTGCTCACCTTATCAATCATCTTGCGAGCTTCTACTTCCTCAGAATTGGGATTTTCCAACTCGATAGTATAGGTGCCTTTATCACTTTGGTCATCCTCCTCCTTCTCAACCGTTGTCAAAACTAGTTGGCTTTTTAATTTTTTATCCATGTCCTCGTTTTGACTGGGTCTATGTCCAAGGCTCCCAGAACTTCTTAACAATGAAGTCTGTAAGAAAGGTAGCACAGCAGATGGTTCTTCTGATTTTTGCTTTAGAAGCTTTGCATGTGCTGCTCTTTGTTGAGTCGAGCTGTTCTGTGAAGATGATGAACACCCTTTGGAGTCTCCCAAAGCAGGTCTCACCTTTTCAGTTTTTGTATGGGGTGTTGGAGGAGATGTTTCTGGACACAAGGATCCAACGTTTTGAGAAAAGGAATATGATCTTCTCTTCCGGGGATGGCCTTCATCAAAAAACTCAATCATAAAGGCAGTCTGGCTTGCAACAGCTTGATCTGAATGCTTCTCTGCATCCTGTGCTTTTGTGTGCAATTTTCGCTGTTCTATATAATGATGTCTTAACTGCTCTTCAAGGGCTGCCCGTTTACTATAATGCTTGTGTGCCACAGCATTTTCTGAATCACTCTGTGTGCCATCATCATGTTTATTTCCTGCAATGACAAAAAAATAAAAAATGAAAACAAAAATAGAATTCTAACTCCACATAAGCTGCAACAATGCTCAAAGTTTAGCAAAGGCAGAGAGGCATTATTTGCTTTTCTTTCAGAAGCTCAACTATCCGTTAGTAACAAGCTCTGCAAACGTTCCATAGCAACACACACTGTTCAGACTTGTCATGCAACAGTGGAGCCTTTTGCCACCTAATCAGTGAAGGAGACACACTTGAATTGTCTTACTCAGAAAAAAGCATTGAGTCCTTGATCAATCATACTCAATAACAAAATCTGAACATATTGTAGCAGCAACCGAGTTAGGACTCAATGGATCAACATGTTTCTGATCCAATTATATCAGCAAAAAAAGCAACAAATGGCTCCATGAAAGCCAGAAAATAAAAGGGATTACTACAGTCATCACTACAGCTAGAAGCTCTGCTGAAAGTTAAAATCTAAAACACTAGATTTTCCTTTCTCTCTAATGAGCACTATAGTTTTTGAAATATGTTTTTAGTAGCAGCAAACATTGATGAAGCCTATCATTAACTTCTGTTCATTTAAATATGTTCTGCACAGTGCAAAGATAGAACAAAATAAGTGCAGATTTCACATTTAACCAAACTTATTTAAGATGTACTCTAAATGGCTACAAAAGGTGTTTATGGTGAACACAAAATATTTGCAACTGAAGAAGTGTACACATGCACAAAATTAAACCTTACAATAGGATACATCTGGAAATTCTCATATAAAGAAGGGACAAGAAGGTAATTATCAAGGTCTCACTACAGTAAATTCTCATGTAAAGAAGGGTCAAGAAGGTAATTATCAAGGTCTCACTACAGGAATAGTGGAAGGTCTGTCCAATAAATAATACACGACTATTCCTCCTTGCTGAATCCTCATCAAACCCTTGGTGAATGTCAGATTTGGATACCACAGATTTCAGTTACAGCCATTCCTAATCAGTAAACACAAACTTGTAGTGCCCAGCAATTGGTTGAGAGCTACAGTGCCGTTTCCAACCTGTTGCAGTTAGCATCAGCAATTGTTGCAAAGCCTCTTGGCAACATAGTATCTGGGAACAGATACTGAAGGTGGTGGCAGAGCATGGTTCTGGATAATATCCAATATTCCATATAGTCAAATTGATGCAAAGTTTTGTTTTGTATTGTATTTATTGTATTATTTTATTTCTCTCCTGCCTTTCTACTATATAGGACCCATGGCTACTTACAACATAAACATCAAAAATAGGTTTAGCTAAAAAACTATAAATTTCACTATTAGAAAAATAGCAAATAAATTATCAGACTGACAAAAAACCACAATCAATATAGTTTAAAATTATTTAAACCCAGTTTAAGCCATTTAGCATCAGCAGTACAACATCCACCATTAAAAGATCCTGATCAAAGGTCTGTTTAAATAGAAAAATCCACCTGTCAATGGAAGAACAACATAGATGGGGCCAGTCCTGCCTCCCTCAAAGGGGAGTTCCTTAGCTTGGGAACAGGCACAAAGAAGACCCTCCTTGATAATTTACACTATATCAGTTTCAAAGTGAGATGATTAAAACGAATTCTAGTCAGATCCATTGATAACTGCTTTGTATACTGCGCATTTATGGCTGATTTTTTTAAAAAAAGTGGTTGTTAGAGCATTGAATTCCAGTCATATCCATTGATAACTGCTTTGTATACTGCACATTTATGGCTGATTTTTTTAAAAAGTGGTTGTTAGAGCATTGGTTGCGTAATGTATGCTCTTTAGATTGCTTTTCTGAAATTTATTTTTAGCAGCAGAATAAATAATTATTAAGAAATTTTCACTATGGATGAGTCAGGAAATGATTAAAAATATTTATCATACTTTCTCAAAATTCTTAACCGCAGAAGGGCTCATCATCACCCACTCTCAATATATCATATCATATACTGCTTCTGCAAAGTACCTTGTTTCCAAAGCACTTTACTGTGCATAAGAAAACCAAAGACTTGAGGCTATTGGGCTCATAAAATCCTGGGTTCTAAAATCCTTTGGACTCAGGGCATAGTGTTTTTGTTTTTCTGAATATAGAAATCATTTTTGCTAAAAACATCACATGATTTGGTCCATCATTTTTAGTTGCTGGCTACAAAAATACTGTAGAGACATAGAGAAATCTAGCTTTCACTTGTATAATAATGAAAAGTGCAACCTCATTAATTTTTAATCTACTGTAATGACTGAAGCAAGTGAAGAGGGCTGTAGGAGTACTGAAAGGAGTTTTTTTGGTTTGGAAAATGTACCAGTTACATATACTACAAGTTCTGACTAGGACAAGCAGAAATGTACATATGTTTTGTCTCATTCTGGCCTGTAGGAATCCTAACAGTGTAGTGAATGCATACAATTTGAGTTATTATACTTACTGTGGACTATTCAAGGCAAAAAGAAAAAAAATACAGCTGAAATTGTTTATTTTACCTTTCAGTCTCTTCAAGTAGACTGGAACGTCACTTTTAATACTTTTTGAATCTTCCTCTGTTGCTTCCCAGACCATGGTTGGGGGATTGTTTTGTGCTAACCAGTTTGCCACTTTACTCTCCGGTGCCAACATCACAGTTTGAAGCCCAGAAAGATCCTGAGCACCAGAAGGAGAAGGCTTCTTAGACTTGTGGCGTTGCTCGGGAGTGAATTTTGTGACATGGTCTTTGATGGTTACTTTTCCTGGGGTGCTGTCATCAAACTCAATAGTAAATGAAGCATGCCCTGCCCCTGTTATGTGTGTGTCTTTTGTTGGGATTTCATAAATAGTACCCTCAGGTATTTGTGAATGTTGCTGGAATTCCTTTGTAGGGATTTCAAAATAACTTGGCTCCCTACAGAAAGGATAAGGTTCTTCTTCATTTGCAGCTGCAGATTTCTCCTCAGCTTGCTTGCCATCTGTGCTGCAGCCTATTAAGAAAAATAAAGAAATTGAAATTCTCCAATATTGTGAAATCTGAGTCTTTAAGGAATTTCAGAGTTCACATAAAAAGGCAGGTGATAATTCTTGAAAAGGAAATGCAAGCCTGCGCAGAAAGATCAAATATGGTCCCAGAAAGGCAACTCATTTTTACTCTGCTGATATTTTCATATGGAAGATGGGTTGAAAGAAAGCTCGCTAAGAATATCAAAGAAAATTTATGTCCAATAAGTTCATGAATGTCACAGAGGGGTATTTAAGAGAAGATTCAGAAAGCTGTGATTTCAATTGCTTGAGCTTCTGAGCAAGTACTGAAGTATATACTGTACATGCACTTGGCTTTAAGCCAGATTTTAAACCAGTCCTGCTGTTTGTAGCAACCAAGCTAACCAGTAAAACTGCTATGATTCAAGACACTTTTGAAAATTCAACTTAGAGAGTGCAGAGCAGAAAATGAGACAAAAAACAGAATTTACTACAGCAGCAGGAAACATGCAGAACTTTGTTTTGGGTGGGACAAGGAAAGCAGCAGAAGAAGAGTAGCACAAGGTACATTCTGAATAAATGCAAAATCAATGTTTTTGTGAGTGCTAGCAAAACACTATGCAATTAGCATAATATGATTGCTTGCCAAGCATCAGGAATATGAATACACAACGAGTAACTGCTACTGAACTGAATACTGGAAAAGGAGACTCCAACTGCTGAATTGAGAAATATATTTACAATAAAATGTACACTGAAAAGTAACAAAAAGTGAGAACTTCAAAATGACCAAATTTTGAAGAAAATTATTAGCATGTTTACTATGTGGATGAAACACGGTACAATGACAAGCAAGATACATTTTGAAATGAGTGCCAAAACAAGCAAAATATCCATGATGATTTTTATGATTAATCTCATTCATTTCTACCACCATGTTTCTTTAGAGATGTAAAACTACCAAAGGGGAACACATTTCCTATGAGGGTATCATTATAGTTGAGAAATGAATGACAATTATATGGCATTACAGAACTAGTAGACAGCATCCTGTTACCTTCATCCTCAGTTTTAAAGAATGTAGAGGTTTACACTGTTTGAGCGTAGTGATCAAATGCATTTTTTTTTACTTTGTTTTACTTGTTTGCTTAAAAAAACACAAGGAATAGTGGCTTTCAAATGCGCACTTTTGTGTCACTTTCTATGAGAAGAGGACAGGCTTGGCTAAAAGTAATTAAACTCCCCCTTTTCCTTTGGTGATTACATTAGTACAAAAAATGCAATGAGTTTTTCTGGGGTTTAAGCAATTAAGATCTAGAATATATCGCCTTAATTAAGCCACAAAATAACTGCACCTTTTTGCTCACATAGGAGCACATTAAGATTCATGTGAGCATGTTTCCTTTTTTTAACTAAAAAGCAAAAACAAAAACAAAAATTCAAAATCTGCCCCTACTATCTTGGTCCCAAAGGAACTCTTCCATGTATTAACCTACTTTTCCTTATGCCAGATATTTTCCATCAGTTTCTGCTTATTTTCCTTTCCTGCTACAGACCCTTTGTCTGAACTTCCAGAAAAGGTCTTCAGAGGGTAATCATGAAGAAAAGGGGCAACAAAAAAACATGTTGTGCTCCACTTCTCTATCTTTAGTTCAAAGCCATGTAAAATATATGACATTAACAGGTGTAGCATAATTTAGTGCAATTTTCTGATACAGTTCTCTACCTAGCATCACTATCTTTTGGGGGTTTGCTAAAATCACTTCCTTCTTAAAGACAAAGTCATTATTAAATGAGTTCTGGTTGTTACAATATTTTTAAATTCTTTAGTAAGCACTGTTGCATGCTAAGTGTTAATGGTTGTCCCAAAGATTTCTCTGACAGGATACTGTGTACCGCAGTTTGAGGAGGAAGGGTCCAACAAGATGAGCATGTTGCTTAACTAACATGCAATGAAGAATAATTTGTCCATGAAATGAATTGTATCTCTACAGGAATTACTAGTGAATGTACAAATTCAAGCTCAGGAAAGCAGATCAGGATTTTAGAAATGAAAAACAACAAGCTCTTGCTTGGGATGGAAGACAGCACAGTAGAGGAATTAGAGGGAGCAAGGAGTGCTCAGGGCAAATAGCTAGTAGGGAGTAGCAGGATAAGAACAGCAGGTGTTAAGAGCAAAGCTGGGAAAAGAAGCAATGACTAGCCTGTGGATAAGTCCAGGGAAGCACAAAGATGGAACAAATCTGCTTTGATATGTGGTATTATCTGAGAAGCAATGTCACAGAATAGATTCTTGAGCAAGAAAACTAAAACTTTTCATATGAAGAATTTCTGAGCAGCAGGAGTAGGAGCTAACAGAACAGCAGCTTTCAATATTCAACAACTTGAAATATGTTTCTAGTCAGAAGTTCAACAGCTGCAGATACAACATGATGATATCAATGTGGTATTTTATCACTATCATAGTTAGAGGAGACATATTTGTTTGGTGATCAAGTTATTTCCATCTTACTCTGTAAGTCTTACAAATTCTTCACCATTAAAAATACATCTCAATTTAGTGCACTAAAAGGGTCCTTTCTTTAATTAAACAATGAAGAATGTAAGATTTATATATGCAGTTTCACAAAATTTATTGATGATCCAAGGGAAAAAATATTAAATGGAAGGTTCTGGTGAGATACAAGTAAATTTCAAGAGTTTACAAGCAGCAAATATTCAGTTATAAGACATATCTGAATAATTCTTTTTGTGGGATTACAAAATCATTGCAATTTTGGGAACTAGAGCACAATAATGGCTTCAATTATGTGAAATTCAAATCTAATTTCTCCTGATTAAGGATTCATGACTAGTTTACAGGTACAAACAGAAGCTTGATTCAAGATTATCCCAATAACTGTGAATGCAGATAAGTTTAACAGCACAGTAACATGATCACAATTAGGTAAGCAAATTTGGCTCTTTCTCAGCAAAAGCATTTCATTAATGATGTAGGCTCTGAAGTGTCTGCATGTGCTTTCTGTCTGTCAACTAGCAACTGCATTTTAATAGAAAGTTAACATCACAAGTGGAACCTATAAACATGTTGCAGTGTAGTATGTTCCCCTTCAAGGCTTCAGCCAATGCTCTCAGTCAAAAGTGATCAAGTCAGAAATTGGAAGCATTTTACCACTGAGCACAAATTACTACAAGTGGGTAAGCAAATGCATGGAGAATTAAAATTACTGAGTTGTGTTGAAATTGGGGAAATATTAGATCATTACCAGATATTGTACCTTCCGATCTTATGTCCTATAAAAGAAGTTTGATATCAGATAACCTGATATTTATAAATAATCTATTAATGGAATTTAATCCAGACCCAACACTTCACAGACCTGAAAGTCTTTTTCATAGGAGTTTCTTTCTACCGTACGCACTAAGGTATCTGCAATTTAAAAATGCTACATAAGCTCAAGAGGCTGGAATTATCTCAAAACCAGGGCCTACTCAACCACCCATACTGGGGAATGAAATTCTGAATAATTACCTTGAGATTGTAGACAAAGGTAATTTTATCTCACCAGAAAGCATCATTATTTTGAGTATTAGCTTTTCAGAGACTGCCCTTGCCTACTTAAGAACTGCACTGAATAGTTGGTTCCGAGTTTTTGAAATCTTCTACACCAACACAGAACAGATCAGAATATAGCTCAGAGGACAGCAGCACACTGGGGAAATTAGAAAGCTCAAGTGCCCTTTTGAGTACGAACTGAAAGCGCTTTTCACTAAGGCAAAGCTCTCACTAGGCAATAAGCAAGACTTTTTTGATCCTGCTTTTCATGTAGGATCAGTTTGATTCTGAATATTTTTCTAAGTTATTTCTTTTCTCCAAATACATTTGCATTAAAATATCTTGTAAATAACCCAGTATTTAGGCCAGTCAAACATAAATTAGTCTGCAGATGGTGCACTAGGCTTTGGGGAAACAAATCTGTTTTACGCCAGGTGACAGAATTGTATTAAAAACAAATAACATATACACGAATATCATTATTCAGGAGCATGAATTGTAACCATATTTCTTCTCAAGGTAAAAAAGCCTCGAATCACCATTTAATAAGCTCCAGTTTTGGAATCCTTAGTAGGCTTCAGTACTACTGGATGGTGAAAGAGAATGCATGAGGAATTCTGCTGTTTATTATACTATTTAGTTGCTGAAGATGAATAAAACCTTATACCTACCGTGTTTCCCCGAAAATAAGACAGGGTCTTATATTAATTTTTGCTCCAGAAAACTCATCAGGGCTTATTTTGAGAGGATGTTTTATTTCTTTTCATGTACAAAAACCTACATTTATTCAAATACAGTCATGTCATCTTCTTCTGGTTGCTGCACAAGGGTGGAGGGAGGGGTTTCACTTGACTGGGCCTTATTTTCAGGGTAGGGCTTATATTACGAGCATCCTGAAAAATCACTTTGTTGTTATTTAGTCGTTAAGTCATGTCCGACTCTTCGTGACCCCATGAACCACAGCACGCCAGGCTCTCCTGGCTTCCACTGCCTCCCGGAGTATGATCAAATTCATGTTGGTAGCTGCAATGACAATGTCCAACCATCTCGTCCTCTGTCGTCCCCTTCTCCTCTTGCCTTCACACTTTCCCAACATCAGGGTCTTTTCCAGGGAGTCTTCTCTTCTCATGAGATGGCCAAAGTATTGGAGCCTCAGCTTCAGGATCTGTCCTTCCACTGAGCACTCAGGGTTGATTTCCTTCACAATGGATAGGTTTGTTCTCCTTACAGTCCAGGGGACTCTCAAGAGTCTCCTCCAGCACCACAATTCAAAAGCATCAGTTCTTTGGCAGTCAGCTTTCTTTATGGTCCAGCTCCCATGTTCATACATCAGTACTTGAAAAACCATAGCTTTGAATATGCAGACCTTTGTTGGCAAGGTGAGGTCTCTGCGTTTTAAGATGTTGTCTAGGTTTGTCATCGCTTTCCTCCCAAGAAACAGGCATCTTC